TACATCCAATTACACATCTCCACTACCTTCTGGGAAGAGAATTTCCTAGACTAACAACCCTATGCAAGAAATTATTCTCCATTTCCACTTTAAAAGGGAAATATCTACTTCTTGAATTGTGCTCCCGATTGGAGGTCTCCCTGACAAGAGCAAATGTCTTCCTCGTATCCACGAAGATCCTCTCAGGATCTTTGTGTCCCTTAGATCATGTCTCATTCACCTTAAGTTGGTGCAGGCCCAGCCTGTCAAACTATTCAAATGAGAAAAAAAACTGTAACAATAGCAGTACTGGAAATGTGATCTAACCACAGTCCTGTCTAGGTGCAATAACATTTCCCTCCTTGCATACTTGCCTTGCAATAACCAAGAATGTTTTATTTTTCATCCTAGTCACTTGCTGTAGCTGCACACTAACTTCATTATTCTTACACCAGTGCACTTAGATGCCTTTGTATCTCCAGTTCTGCAATTTCTATTCATTTAGTGCTGTTCCAGGGTTCCCATTCATTTTGACAAAGTGGATAAGTTTGCATTTTCCCACATTATATTTCATCTGCAAGATTTTTGTGCGCCCACTTTCTTGTAGACTCACTCTCCTCTTAACAATTTATTCTCCTATCTATCTTGGTGTTCTGAAAAAAAAATCCTTAGCTGATATGCATTCAGCTCCTGCATAAAGAAGTGGATGCATAGTTGAGACCCCAGCAGTGATCCCTGTTGCACCCTCAAAGCTTACAGCCTGCCAATGTGAAAAGATCCGTTTATCTCTATTGGCTAGCCAGTTCTTTATTAGTGCTAATAATTTACTCTCTATTCCGTATATTCTTATTTTGTCGAACAATCTTTTGATGTGATGACCTGATAGAAGTACATAAAATTTGAGTGCATGGGTAGGGTGGATAGTCAGCGTTTCTTTCCCACAGTGAAAATGTCAAAATACTAGTGGCAAAAGTTTAGGATGAGAGGGGCAAAGTTTCTTTTATGTAGAGCATAGCAGGTGCCTGGAATGTGCTGTCAGGGAGGTTGTAGAAGCAGATGTGATATTGAAGTTTAAGTAACATTTAGACATATGAACCGGCAGGGAACAGAGGGATATGGACGATATGCAGGTAGATGGGATTAGTTTAGAACTGCATCATGGTCATCGCAGATATGGTGGGCTGAAGGGCCTGTTCCTGTGCCGTACTGTTCTATGTTCCTATCAAATAAATGCCGTTTGGAAATCCAAGGACTGAGTTCCTTTTTATCTGCTAGGTGTTTTATTCTTCAAAACAAACACTAATCAGAGTATTTAAACACAACTTCCCTTTAACAAATACAGGAACAAAAACAGAAGTTGCTGGAAAAGCTCAGCAGGTCTGGCAGCATCTGTGAAGAAAAAAATCTGAATTAATGTTTTGGGTCTGTGAAGAAGAATCAGAATTAACGTTTCGGGTCCGGTGACCCTTCCTCTGTTCTCTAGCAATTTCTGTTTTTGTTCCTGATTTACAGTATCAGCAGCTCTTTGGTTTCCCTTCAACAAAGTTGTGTTGACTCTACCTAATTGCATCAAGTATTCTGCCATATTCTCTTTAATAATGGGTTCTAACTGTTACCCTAAAACAAATGTTAGGTTAACTGGTTCTTGTTTTCTGCTTTCTATCGCCCTCCTTTCTTGAGTAAATGTGTTACATTAGCTATTTTTCAATCCACTAGAATCCTCCAACATAAAAGGTATTTTGAAATATTATAAACCAGTGCAATAACTATCACTGCTGCCACTTCCTTCAATACCTAGTAAGCACACCATATGGTTGAGAATTGTCAACCTTTCTAATTGTTTTCCCAACACCTCCATGGTGAAGGTGATTATTTTAAAGTTCTTCCATTTCATTCCACCTCATAATTTGTCTTTGGGAAATTTACTGCTCTTCTGCAGCAAAGAGACACATCTGAGCTTTGCAGATTCAACATGATGAACAATTTCTGATCATAATCACTACTTTTAAGCAGCAGATCCTGGTAGTGATTCTGCTGTTACCCTTGCCCTTCTCAAGATCCAGCTTTTATTTTAACATGTTCCATTCATGCCTCCTTTTGCCGTGCCCCATTATCTCTTTTATCACTTAATCACTTTCCACTCTATCATTGAACTTTCCTATTGTACTTCTGAACTATTGTCTTTGTTCTTGTTTAAAATATGTTAACATTTGTAACATTTTCTATGATTGCTAATCACCTGAAATTTTGACCATTTCTTTCCACAGATACTGTAATACCCAGGTCAGGCAGTATTTGCTGAATATTTTCAAATTTCCAAAACCCAGTGTTTGATCTTAAGCCATTGTTACAGTTAAATGTAAAACTGTTTTACCTTTTTAACTCTCTCCAGCAAGACAAAACAATTCCCTTTTTCATCATCCTGCATTTAGTCATCACAAAGAAGCCTGCTATCTTTGGCCTCTGCTGTTTTTTGTACACCAAATCAATTGTTATAACTAGGGGGAAGAAAAATAAGAATGCTTTACAAGTCTGCACTTTTAAAAATGGTTTTCATCTTGTTGTTTGGATTTGTCTTCTGGTTGGTTAAAAATTGATTCTTTGGTATTGCAATTCTTGTAAAGCAAGCAATAAATGAGCACGTCTGAAATTCAGCGCTGCTTATACAAATGGCTGTAATGGTAATGCAACCCCTATGTTGTGTAATTGTTTGATCTGCTTGACCAAGCTTCCATGTGAACCAAAATGTTCACTTTTCTGTCCTTTTGATTTTGATTTTCCCTACTCATTGAGCGCAAATTGGAATATTAATACTTAGTGGTAATTTGATTCAATGTAGTTTTATCTCTTTAATCTTTTCATTGGAGACACCTACCCTTTCTGATGATTTTGTTTGTTGGTAACTCCTTGATACCTGACTCAAGTTGTCATTCTACATGTATGATTGCTGAGGTTGCTTTGGCAGGATTTTGACTATAAAGGGCAGTTTTGTTGAATCTTCATGTTGTCCTCCTCTTATCCACATGAGAATACTTCCTCATTGCCATGGGTGAAAATCTTGGCTGACTTTTTTTTAATTTACCGACATACCTAGGTCAAATCACAACATCTCAACTGCTGGACTTGCTATGATCAAATAACTCATCGATGAACAAATCTAATTTAGACATTTTCCTCCATAAGCTTGCTACATTGAACAACACAGACAATTATGTTATCAAGCATGGCAGCTATTTTGGGCTTAAGAATTTGCAAATAGCAGTGAGATAAATAATTTTTTTTTGATCCTCTTGGTTGAATGGCACATGACACGAGAGCACTTGAACCTAGCAAATTGGCTGCTTTTAACATACTATCAAGCTTTTATTCCCTTCAACAGTGCAACCAGTCATTTTATAGCACTGGAGTGTCAGTCTTGGTTAAGTATTGAAGTCCTAGCGTGAAACTTGAATTTCTAAACTTGTGATTTGAAATGAGTAACCTGGTTTTATTGAATATAAATTTCATTAAAATTATTTTGTTTGCTTTTTGCCCTACACTGATAGTTATGGCTTCAATTTGGCAACAGTACTGTCTGTAACAACAGAAATATTGCCTTTTACTTAGATTTTATGGCTTGAATAGTTAAACACTCTTAAAGCCGTTTTTCTGTGCAAGGAAGAATAGGCATTTAACACGAACATGGAGGGTTAAAAGCAGCAGGAGTAGGCCGTTTGGCCTGTTGAGCCCCTTACGTTGCAGATCTGATTGTAACCTCAACTCTGTTCCGTTCATCCTTAACTTTTCAACCCTTTTCTTATCTGTCCACCTCTGCATTAAAAATATTCAAAGACTCTGCTTCCGCTGCCAATTAAAGAAGATAGTTTGAGACCTATGACCCTCAATCTTAAGTGGGCAATCTTTTATCGTTAAACAGTGACCCCTTATTACAAATTTTCTAAGAGGGAATATTGTCTCCATTATCAACTGTGTCAAGCCCCCTCAGGATCGTGCATGTTTCAATCAAACAGCCTCTGGCTGTTCTAAATTTCAGTAGGTGCAAGCCCTAGTTTGTGCTACCTCTTCTCACAGACAATGTGTCCATTCTAACCTTACACAATTTTAATTTTTTTTTCAAAAAATGACAAAGATAGATATTTTCAAATCAAATATGAATTAGAGATCAAATAAACATTTTGTGGTGACAGTCTTTCTTTTCTTAATATACCATAAAAATGAATCTTCAGTAAACTAGGTCTGACTGATCATTTGCAAGAACTTATATTCTCTTCGGTAAGGTTAAATTTGCTATTGCAAGTCTAGTAATAGGATTACAGGTGAAGGTATCCTTTTAAAAAAGCAAGAAATACTAAGATGAAATGTATAGTTCACTAAAGCCTAATTGAGATTTGAATTCAGCAAGTGCTAGTATAATATCCTAGGTGAGGTGACTGTCTAATGGGATTGTTGCTAAATGGTTAACCCAGAGACAAGATAATGTTCTGAGGACATGGGTTTAAATTTGACCATGGCAGAATGTGGAATTTGAATTCGGAGCCCAATGATGCCCATGAAACCACTGGTTGGAAAAACCTATCTAGCTCATGGATGTCCTTTAAGGAAGGAAACTGCGTTCCTTACCTGCTCTGGCGTATTTGTGACTCCAGACCCACAGCAATGTGGTTGACCCTAATTGCCCTCTGGGCGATTGGGGATGGGTAATAAATGCTGACCCAGCTAGCGATGCCCTCAATCTCGTGAATGAGTAAAAGAATAGATTTGATGTCTCTGGTGTAAATGGTTCTGAGAATGTTCTGCGATTGCAACAAAGTACCGTAAGTTGAGAAATTTAATTGCCACCCCCACTTACCCCTTCACTGACACCGTAATTTTATAATCCACAAGGTGATAATAAGCGGTCAGTTGATTTCCTTTAGTAAATTATGTATTAACTGTGACTTTCTCAGTAATAACTTTATAATGCTAGAATTTATAGTTTGATTTCCTCAGCATTCTACATTTATGTTGTCTGTTTTGTACAGATCACTTGATGGTCGGCTGCAAGTTTCACATCGCAAAGGTTTGCCTCATGTTATTTACTGTCGCTTGTGGCGATGGCCTGATCTTCACAGTCACCATGAGCTTCGAGCCATTGAAACTTGTGAATATGCTTTCAATCTTAAAAAGGATGAAGTGTGTGTTAATCCATACCACTATCAGAGGGTGGAGACACCAGGTGAGTGCAAGCTAAAGCTAGGTTTTACAAATTAATTTTTACAACTTTAATTTTGTTCATTTGCTATTTTTTAAATCTTTCTTTCATGGGATGATTTGTTGTTGGTAAGGCTGGTATTTGTTGCCCTTCCTTGATTGCCCTTGAGAAGGTGCTGGTGAGCAGCTGCCCTGAACCAGGGTAATCTGTCTGGTGTATATGCAGTTTACAATGCTGTTAGGAAGTTCCACGATTTAGACTTGGTGATATTCAGGGTGAAATATTTCCAAGTCAGGACAGTGGGTGAATTAGAGGGGAACTTGTAGGCAGTGCATTCCCATATATCTGTTGCCCTGACTTCTTGGGTAATAGAGGTTGTGAGTAAGGAAGGTTAATTTTGAAGCATCCATGACAATTTTCTGTATTGCGTCTTCTTTGCACACTGCCACTATATGTTGTTTGGAGGCAGTAAATATCGAAGGTGGCGCAATCAAGCAATCTCCCTTGTCTTGGGTGGTGTCTTGCTTGAGTGTTGGAGCTATGCTCAACTCCACTTTTGGAGAGCTTTGTCACATTCCTGACTTCTACTTTTGTAGATAAATGTTTTTTTTAAAAAAGAATTCATTCAGGGGATGAGGGCATCACTGGCTTGGCCAGCACTTATTGCCTTTCGCTAATTGCCTACAGGGCAGTTAAGTGTCAACTGGAGTCGCATGTTGGCCAGACCAGGTAAGGAAGACAGTTTCCTTCCATAAAGGACATTAGTGAGCCATATGGATTTTTCTGACAATTGGCAATGGATTCATGGTCATCATTAGACCCTTAATTCCAGATTTTTATTCAGTTCAATATCTACCATCGGCTGTGACAAGATTCAAATCAGTGTCCCCAGAACATTACCTGGCTCTCTGGATTAACAGTCCAGTAATAATACCATTAGACTGTTGCCTCTCCTAATTGTACAATGCCAAGTCTGACAGCCTACTCTGTGTTTGGTCCAGAAAATTTCTTTCAGCAGCACGATCTTTGAAAGTATTCTATGAACTTCCCATCCAGCCAATTTGACTTTTCCAGTTTAATTGTAGCATAAAGTCACTAATGATAAGTCTGTGTATAAGCCACCAGAATCAGTAAATCTCCCTATTTACCACAGGGAGGTTAGATTCTCTCTTGATGGAGATATTAATTCTGTCATCAGTGTAGCCACTCAACCCCATCTTAAATATTGTCCACACCTTGCTGTGCATGGACACGGACTGCCTCGTTATCTGAGGAGCTGCAAATGGAATTGAACATTGTGTAATTATCGGCAAAATTTTCATTCCTGACTTTGGAGGAAAATCATTGCTGAAGCATTGAAGATGGCTTTTCCTTGGGACCTTTGGGTCTTGCTGTATATGAGCATAGTATGTTTGCTGTGTAGCAAAGCAATTTATGTTGACCATAGATCCATATGGCTAAGTTTAACTGTATGTGGGATGCCAGGCTTTTAATGTTAGTTTATAAAATGTGAGCTTCAGGATTCTGTCTTTTGTGTAGAGCACTCCTTGCAAGACCTGGTAGAATGTTGCAAACTGTAGTGTGTAAACAAAATGTCCTGATGATTTTAACATTTTGAATGTACTTCTGGAACGATGGAGAATTTACTGCATGCTGTGGATGTTCTTTGGATATCCCTTTTGTCTATGCATTCCATTATAGCTTAGTCTAAGATGTAGCTGCAATTTGTATTTTCAAAGTTTTTGCATTAATGTTGAATAAAACTTTTGAGTTTTCAATAGAATGCAGAAACCTATTTAAAGACTGCATTGATTGCGCAATGGAGTTGAGTTTGCTTTACTGTTATCACATGTATCACGATACAGTGAAAATTGCTTCACATGCTATACAGGCAAGTTGTACATGCAAAGTGCATCAGGGTAGCAGAATACAGTGTGACTGTTGCAGCGAAAGATCAGAATTAATATTCAAGTGGTCCATTCAAACTTCTGATAACAGCAGGGAAGTCATTCTTAAATCTGTTTGTACATGTGTTCAAACTTTGATATCTTCTGCCTGATGGAAGAGGGTAGAAGACAGTATAACTGGATTGGAGAGGTCTTTGATTATGTAAGGGTCCAGGCCTGAAACGTCAGCTTTCCTGCACCTCTGATGCTGCTTGGCCTGCTGTGTTCATCCAGCTTTACACCTTGTTATCTTTGATCATGTTGGTTGCTTTCCTGAGGCAGGGGGAAACAGATGGATGGAAGGCTGCTTTGCGTGATAGATTGGGCTGTGTCATTGAGTCATAGAGCCCTACAGCACGGGGACAGGCCCTTCGGCCCAAGCTAGTCCATGATGACCAAAATGTCCATCCCCGCTAACCTCATTTCCCTGCACTTGGTACATAGCCTTCTAAACCTTTTGTGTCCATGTATTTGTCCAAATGCCTTTTTAAATGTTGTTAATGTACCCGCCTCAACCACTTCTGCTGGCAACTCATTCCATATGCACGCCACCCTTGTATGAAAAAGTTGCCTTTCAGGTTCCCGTTTTATTTTTTTCCCTCTTATCTTAAACAGATGCCCTCTAGTCCTCGATTCCCCAACCTTTGGAAAAAGATAGAGTGCATTCATCCTTTCCATCCCTCTCTCGATCTTCTACAAGAATCGTCCTCATTTTCCTACGCTCTAAAGAAAAAAAAGTCCTAGCTTGTCCAGCCTCTCCCTATAACTCAGTCACTGGCAACATCCTTGTCTTCACTCGTTCCAGATTGAAGACATGTCGTCATTGTCTTCAGGAATAGTGCCAGAAGACTGGAGACTAGCAAATGTTGTCCCCTTGTTCAAGAAGGGGAGGAGAGACAACCCTGGTAATTATAGACCAGTGAGCCTTACTTCAGTTGTGGATAAAGTGTTGGAAAGGATTATAAGAGAGGATTTATAATTATCTAGAAAGGAATAATTTGATTAGGGATAGTCAACGCGGTTTTGTGAAGGGTAGGTCGTGCCTCACAAACCTTATTGAGTTCTTCGAGAAGGTGACCAAACAGGTGGATGAGGGTAAAGCGTTTGATAAGGTTCCCCATGGTAGGCTATTGCAGAAAATACGGAGGCATGGGATTGAGGGTGATTTAGCGGTTTGGATCAGAAATTGGCTAGCTGTAAGAAGACAGAGGGTGGTGGTTGATGGGAAATGTTCATCCTGGAGTTCAGTTACTAGTGGTGTACCTCAAGGATCTGTTTTGGGACCACTGCTGTTTGTCATTTTTGTAAATGACCTGGATGAGGGCGTAGAAGGATGGGTTAGTAAATTTGCAGATGACACCAAAGTCGGTGGAGTTGTGGATAGTGCAGAAGGATGTTGTAGGTTACAGAGGGACATAGATAAGCTGCAGAGCTGGGCTGAGAGGTGGCAAATGGAGTTTAATGCGGAAAAGTGTGAGGTGATTCACTTTGGAAGGAGTAACAGGAATACAGAGTACTGGGCTAATGGTAAGATTCTTGGTAGTGTGGATGAGCAGAAAGATCTCTGTCCATGTGCATAGATCACTGAAAGTTGCCACCCAGGTTGATAGCGTTGTTAAGAAGGCGTACAGTATGTTAGGTTTTATTGGTAGAGGGATTGAGTTTCGGAGCCATGAGGTCATGTTGCAGCTGTACAAAACTCTGGTGCGGCCGCACTTGGAGTATTGCGTACAGTTCTGGTCACCGCATTATAGGAAGGATGTGGAAGCATTGGAAAGGGTGCAGAGGAGATTTACCAGGATGTTGCCTGGTATGGAGGGAAGGTCTTATGAGGAAAGGCTGAGGGT